GAAACATGTTCTCTGGATTTCTTTTCGAAAAGGTAATGGCTCGCAAGGGGGCGAGTAGGACAGTTTTTCAGTCTCGTAATGCGAGCTTTGTACCATCGTATTAACATTTGACCCAGCTACACGCCTATTTTTCTTAATTCGCTTATTTTAGGAGAAATTGCTTATTAACGTTCTGTAATGGTTCTTTGTATCTACGACGGGGGCAGTCGTCATGTATTTCAGTGATCGACATTGATTCGTTAAGAGACATCGGAGAGGTAATTTCTTTGATTGAGTTAGTTAGTTTCTCCATTTCAAGGTAGAATCATGGCTCTCACTGATGAGTAGACCCTTTCGTTCATTTTTGTTTTAGTGTATTGAACGGTGACCAACAACAAGCTGGTACCGTTAAAATGTGGAAGTAGGGTGCATATTTTGAAAAAAAATAGGGTCGGCGAAATCGGTGACCGATGGACAGGATCCTCTTTCTGCTCGTAAATTTCGGGATCACATCCGTCTTTGCAAATGTCTTGGTGGTCTCACTGGTTCCCTGTGCTACTTCGTCTGTCGTTCTCGGTTCTCTTCTTCTTATTCCCATATCTCTTACTAATAAGCTGAAGGCAGATGGTACAATGGATTGGCGGTCGAAGAAGAGTCGTATGTATAAGATAAAGTGAGGTTTGCCTCGCAAGGGCATGTGCGGCCACTCCCTCCGTCAAACGAATTTGAAAAAGTACACACAATAATTTTGAGATCCAAAACAACACTAAATGTAGCAGACTAAATAGTTTAATTATATACTGAACCAATAATCTTATCACAAAGATGCGGTTAGAGTCGTATTTTGCGGCGAGGTGAAAGGCGGGCCCGTTGCAACCCAGCAGGGTGTCCCTCCAAGAGGCCTATCGCGCGGCGAGGGAAGAGATGCAGATGGACGATCGCAGCGCATACTGTAGAGACTAGGCGTCAGGTTAAATACCATACTACGTCTCATATTGCACAGCACGCGCTGCGACTTGTCCCTTTGCTGCATCTGCGTCTCTTCACTCGGGGTGTGCACCTTTGGTCTAAAGGGCAATCATGGGAGATCACCTCGCACCTACACTCACTTGCCTGTGGGAAGACCTTGTTAATTGCACTGGGTCGTCTGGAAAACTTCTTCCTTTCAGACACAGTATAGGTCATATGAATAATGATTTTTGTCACATAAACTTCAAGCTGCGGAAATTGTTGCGAAGCAGGAGATAGCAGAATTTTTTGAGAAGCATTTCATATTCAACTCTCTCCCTTTGTGACACTTTGACTTCCGAGTTCCAGTACGGCGTAGAAAGCTGCACGTTTGTATTTATGACTCCATGGATTTTGGTGGAACATGATACGCCTTCCGGAGTGAATTCAACAAATAAAACAGCAACGATTTTCTGTTATCTGGAGATATCTAGTACTCAAACGCTTTTTTCTATCTGATACACTCTTGGCTCGTATTTCTGTTACCAGTTTTGCTTCGCCCGCTATCGCGCGCATCACACGGCGGGCTTTAGCGAAATTGGAGGACCCATGGAATATCAGCATGAGATACTCCATTAACCATCTCACTATTGACTGTGTTAGACCCTCCACAGTTTTACTGAAGCTCATCGAGAATGCGCGTGATAACGTCTGAGCTGAACTGGTATATTGATCACAGCCGTAAACATCCAGCATTTTTCTTGAACCCAGATAATTTAGCGGTGAATAGGATTGCTGTCACTCTCAAAATGAAAATGAAATATGCCCGTTTACATACGTGAGAAGCTGAGGCTTATCATTCATTTATATTCATCATCATTTAGAACCCCGAAAGGATTGGCGGTGAAATGAGATTGGGTTTTCTTAATAGTCAGCAATGAAACTTATCATTTGCTGAAGACTTGTTTTTTTTTCGTTTTCAGTTTATGCCGTTGAATTCTATTAAGTAAGCTGGTACTATATATGCGAAAATAGATGTGCACACCAGCGTACCTTTGTTTACTACGACCTTACTGACACTTATGTAAGTAGGAACGCTCTAGTGTCAACGCTGCGCGTAACGGAACCTAACGCTTTTGCGTTCTGACGCGCCCTATCAGCCCTTATCAAATCTTATCACGTTCTAGGCACCCCCAACAATGTCCCCGTCCCACTGCCACAATAACACTGTGTAAGTATGAGTTGCTCTGCGTGTCAAGGCGACCAGGCAGTGATCGATGACTTCAAAGCGTTCTTTCGCGCCTTATCGGCCCTTATCAATCGTTATCAGTTTCTGGCACGCACGCAACGAAGTGTCCCCGTCCCACACACAACACAACACTTGTAAGATATGGTTGCTCTGGGTCGAAGGCGAGCCAGGCAATGCAATCGACGACCTTCAGCTTCTAGGCGCATCTTTATCCAGCCCTTATCAATTGCGTTATCAGTTTCCGGCACCAACGGCAACAACCAGATGTCCCCGTTCCCACACACATACAGAACTTGTAGTATGGTTGTTCTGTGGCCAAGGCGAGCCAGGCGAATGGAATCGACGACTTTACGCGTTCTAAGCGCATCTCTATCAGCCATTATCAGTTGCTATCGCTTCGCCATTCATGTAGCCACCAATGTCCTGGGACCGCCCCACATAATGCTTGTATCTATAGACGCTCTCTTACTAAATATGAACACCGCGTCAGTCCGCAAAAACTAAATTGCGATGCTGCCGCTTTCTAAGCCAACTCAGCTATTATCAGTCGTTATCAGTTCCTATCACGTACCACTTGTGTCCCCATCCCACCCCCTATAACATATTTAAGAACCACTGCGCTATCGTTACTGTGACTTGAGCTATGAATTTCCGTTCAAACATACACACACACCAACAGACACACGCTAGCCGCTTATATATAGTAGGATGTTCCACTCCTAACTTGAACCCACGTTTTTCACTGTCATTTTTGATTCCATGAGGAAATACATATAATGAAATGCTGACTGCACCATTTCGCCTTCTTCTCCTGCGGTTTGATTTGAAAGATGGCTAATGGGAATTACCCAATTTTGTAGAAGCTTATGGTGATCAGTCTCTACCATATCCTATCTGGAGTCCAACATTTTAGAAGTGGTCATTCTGATGTCCTGGCGATATTCAGAAGTTCCTGAAGTTGCTCTTCTGAAACGCTCACATGCAGAGGGAAAGATTCAAAAATGGCGGTCAGACAAGTGTGTAGAATTCCCACGTGAGGGTCTCCTCAGAAAAGTACCAAATTTCGAAAAACCGGTGAACTATCTGCCACTTATATGGGAAAACTTCCTATCCCAGCGCGATCAACAGATACCGTCTTGTGATTACCATTCATCAGATTGGTGCACACAACCCGGCTGGCAGGCCATTTCGAAATGTTCAGTATGGGACAACGAGCCGGTGAACTGACACTTCGAAACTGAAACCGTGCTAACGGGCGAGATCGCCAATTTATTTAAAAAATGGGAAAGTGTTGAAGAATGTAGTAGAAAGTTTCGTGGTAACGATTTGTATCACTTCTCTGCAATACACTTCTTCGAGATCGAGAAAAATTAACAAAATTGATGAGACCTAACATAAACTCTTACGTGTTTTGTGAGGAAACATTTTGGCGTTTACGGTCTCTGAGATTAGAGTGTCTATGCGAGGTCAGCAGTCAGCACAGTAAATTAATGAGTTCACCCCTCAGGCGACTGCTAGGAGGCATAAGGTGGCAGGTGCGAGGTAGTGATTAAAAGGTCATTCTTGACTAAAGTCCCTCTCCCCTTCCCTCGACATGCGATGGGCCTTCTTGGGGACACCCAGCCCAGCAAGACTTCACCCGTCGTGACAGCCGCCTTCGTGGAGAGTCCCACCTCCACATGGCTGAGTGATAGAGAAGTGAGCTGGCTGCTGGTGCTCCTATCATCGTCTTTTCGTGTTGGAACGGCGTTCAACTCGGCGGCTATACCATCTAACTTGTATTATAATATGATAACAATGTAATACGTTATCAATCAAAGCGTGATTATTGTTGACATGAATTGGGATCGTACGTCCGAGCAGTCTCGCTTTGGTTACACAGCGAGAATCAACTCAAGGAAAGGTTCCCATTTTCGCGGGTAGGGTAATTTCGGGATTTTTCCTTCACCACTACACCGTCAAATCTCTGGCTGTGAGTCCGCTCGTCCACATGGTGCCGCCGGGGACTGCCCACTCGCAAGGGTTGTGCTGAGCTAAACGCGGACACCAGCGTCAGGCTTGCGCGACAAGTCAGCTGGTCATCTCAAGTCGCAACTATGGATCGAACCGTCACATCATCGCGCGATGCTAGGGCGTACCCCAGAGGCGACGCGCGGGAGCCTCGCCCGACCTCCGTGACAAATGTGCAACCGGTTCAAGGACGGAACACGCCAAAGAAGCTAGTCTGAACGCCAAGTTGAAGCCAATACGAATTGCCACATTGAACATTGGATCGCTTGCAGGACGGAGCCGCGAGTCGGCCGAATTGCTGAAAAGGCGCAAGATGGCCATTGCATGCATCCAAGAGACATGATGGAGTGGGCAAAAATCGTGCGATATTGGAGATAGATACAAGCTCAGCTACTACGGCACATCCAATAGCAACGGAGTGCCCATTGCCGTCGACACCGAGCTGCGCAGTCACATCGCGGAAGTACAGCTCCACTAAGTCAAGCTTGTCTCTGCTATCACTGATTGTAAAACTTGCCGTGTACACGTGTTTTCTGCCCATGCTCCATAATATGTGCGAAGACGAGGAGGACGAGCGATTCTGGACACATGTGCAGGACATGATTGCAGCAGTTCCTGGAGGCGATCTTCTCATAGCCGGATCGCATGTATGACCGTGAGGTATAAACGTTGCCGAACTGCATCCAAAAGATGTCTTTTTCGAAAGCTCTTATTTACAAAAACTCATTTTTTGCTCTCCACTTTGACCGTAGTCTTCTACGGCCGGACTTAATACTGTCATATTCATGGGAAAACGAAACGATTCCCGTTAGCGATACCTTCAAGCTTCGTCCCAGATGCTACACTTCAGACCGCCTTATTTTGGTGTTCAGGTTATACTGCCGACAGACTGCGTGCAAACCGCCTTGTTTTCGGATGGTACGTCTTTCTATCACGCTTCCGTTACCTCACAGTCAACTCTTCACGTAAGTTTTATAGTAGTATTTACACCAGCATTGATTGATTATCCATTACATTCTTATTTTACGGTTAACCTATGTTGTCGTTTTTTAGTTAGTGCCTCTAAATGATTCATTCGTGCCGATTGCTGAACCTAAGTCCCGTCATGCGGTTCGTCTCACTGATGTCTCCTTCTGTTGTATGGGTGACACGAAATCGTTGCCATTTCAACTGCCGATGACCATACCGAAGTATTTACATAGTAAGCGGTAATCAGAGTAGTTCCGTAGAATAGTTTATACCGGAATTCCACCATTCATACTGGAGTGTGGTTTTTCCAGAGACGTTTTTTATATCGCTTCTTAAATGATCTATTTTTGTTTCCTACTGCTCAGCCTTGTTGGGTTCGGAGTTTCTTTTTTTGTTTTTTTTCATTTTCTGGTAGACAATATGTATAATCAATCATTCACTCATTTGCATGAGGTCAAGAGTGTACCACGAACATTTCTTTACTATTATGCTCATGCCTTTAGTGCCCCTCTAGACTGGCTGAGAATGGAATTTGTATAAAATAGCTTGAAATTTTCTCATAGCACTTGATCCGGGTTTCCAGATCAAGCTGCAGATCTGCATCTTGGCAAGGATATAGCCTTCCTACAATCAAGATCGGGAAAAATTTATTACGCCGGAAATGGAATCAAGTACGGATTACAGGTAAGCTGGCCATTTGGAATGAGTTCCATACTTCCATGCGCGTTTTAAGACGCTGTGCTCAAATTTGCATTCACTCCCCTCCCTGTATCTTCTGAACTACTCCCTCAACGGAATTATAAAGCGGAAAACGCAGCGCCTTCTTCTTCCCTACCTTTACTCTGTCAAAAAGAAGACATCATCTGGAAGAAAGCTATTTTTACGGAATGCCCTTAACACTGGGCCATGTTTCGTTTGCTCAGTAAAAGCTTTGATGAAAAGCTATGGAAATTAACAACAACAATTAGAAGAAAGTTATTGAAAGTAGAGGTAAAGTACGTGTATAAGCTATTAAGTCAAAGACTGAAACCAGAACACACCGCCTCTCACTGTTGTCAAAGTGTTTACTCAGTTATATACGTCCAAAATTGTTTGATGCTTATTGGATAGCGATGAGTTGAAGGAAACCGGGACGACATGGATGGAACTGGTGTTGCCGGAAAGTATTGTTCAAATGTCCGTCGGTGCTGAATACGTGCTGTTCCGAGCCGGTAGTGGTCATGCTTGGATTGCAGGCGGCGATGATGGACGTAGAGCCGGGAAATTGAGGCGGCTGACAACGATCAATAGGTACTGTCTATAGCTCATTTCGTTCCCCGAACAATTGGAGAAACTTGTCGTCTGAAGATGTGTCAGATGATGTTTTCCTACACGTTTATTATTCTGTTCAAATTTTGTATTTGTCATGTCTTGGAGGCAATCTTGCTCTCCAGGCGAAAAACCCAGTCGATCAGCAGCGCCGCTGGTAGCTACGGTTATGTTACCGACAATGGACGAGTGTACGTTGGTGGACGACATGGAATGAGCGTGTATCCAGAGACAGGTCAAGTTCTTGGTTTGGATGGAACGCACATGGTAAGTTTCATTTTATTTATTCAATTATTTATGCACTCAGTGGTACAACAGGGTGAAGAGTGGTATTAGTTCGATACAATATTGACGACAAAAACAAAAGAAAAACGGCTAAACTCGTCGATTAACTAAAGAAAAAGGAAAACGAAAACGAATCGCATCCTTAGCTTCACCGTTCTGCCGGGTGCAGACAAATGACCGAAGAAAGTCAGCGCAGAACTATTAGCTGCCATTGATCTGTATGAGGGGCTTATAAGGCAGTGACTACCTTCAGGTCTTTGTTCGACTTAAAACTGAATGACGGCCATAGATGTTCAAGGAAGAGTTCGATAATTCCAAAGTTCAAAACACTTGCTAAGAGAAAAGTAAATTCGAAAGTTAACCTGCAAGTGATTCAGAGAGCTAGTGAATCGATGAGAAGTCGTGAACTCGGGGTCTCGTAAAATTTCAGTGTGGTCATTAACAGTGAGTTCTTTTCTTTTTGAGTGTGGATGATTGGAAGCAGCGCCTATAAACAGCTTCTGCTGAAGGGAATTTCGAGGACTCATGCGGAGGAATTGCATGCTTCTCTCATTAAGTTCCACAGATCCCCTTGTAAGATCGTTGTGAAATGCCAAAACGAGTCGAAACAACTACGAAAAAGCGGCTCAAATTCTGCGCAGTTTGTTGTTCGGCAATTCTTTCTTGTTTCTGCAGAGAGACAGCAGAAACAAGAAAGAATTGCCGAAAGGAACTTTCTGCAAAAGAGAGCTCTCTTCTGCAGAGAGTCCTTTCTCTCTAGTCTCAAGCAGTTTTTTTTTCTGTCATTATCCGAAAAGGAATATCAGCACCAATTAGGGAGGTCCGTCAGGCAAAACTGAAATTCAATGGAGAAGCAAGGGTCGGCTGTACCGATATTAACAATATGCAAGGCGGCCTTTTTACGAAGGTGAACGCGAAACTTCTTGTGTTTCCAAGTCGGAATTTAGTGATCAGCGATATATTAGCGTTCTTATTTAGCACATTTTTTATTTGAAGTTTTTCCAAAAAGCATGCGAAACTGCGGATTTTGAACTGCAAATTTTCGGAAAACTCATTAGTGCATTTCAATTATTAGCTTTGTTTGAGTAAGAGCAGAGCTTCTGGATGACAAGGTGTGTGTTACCGTACCACTCAAGCCAATAATTTTTCTAAGGAACTTTGCAAGGAGATTTGATAAATTTGCTTGTCCTTTGTTTGCCCATGTTCTTTGGGACAATATACTACTGTACCTCCTGATAACTTTTATCCACAGACCCAGTGTTGAAATAAATTGTTTCTTCAATGTTTTGTGCTGAACGACCTAGCTCTAGAGCTGAGTAGAGGAAACGAGCGGCATGGGGAGTATTCAAGAACATCGAGGGAGTAGTGGAAAAGACGAAGAACTCCCGGCTCCGTGCCCATCTCTTCAATCCCGCAGTCCTTCTCGCCTTAACCTACGCCTCAGAGACCTGGACTCTGCGCAGGTAAGAGCATGGGATTAGCGTTATCCAACGCGCTGTCGAGAGAACGATGCTTGGAGCAACCACGCACGTGCAGAGGAGAATCTATTGTTCCGAACTAGGGCCGAAGATCGGGGATACTGCCCTTCTCGCCGAGAAATCGCAAATAAGATGGGCCGGGCACGTCACTCGATTTTGCGATGACAGTTGGACCAGATGGGTTACTGACTGAATCCCTTGGGGCGTCAAACGAATACCTGGACGACCGCCGGCCCAATGGTCGGATTTCTTCACGAAAGCTCCCAATGGTCAGACTTCTTCTCGAATGCTCTGAACGAAAGAAATGAAGCCCTGCGCGTCCCTCGAGCGAAGAGCATCCGCTGGACTACTCTAGCACAAGAATATGTGGAGACTTGGTGGAGCTTGCTCGAGCAAATCGACGGTCAACGGGACGACAGATGATACAGGTGATACTGTTTTGGGGATTCAAAATTCACGTTCACGGAAGCTGAGGTGGTGAGTCGGCCACTCTCACGTAATCGCAGAGGTCCGCCGCGGTCAAAATTCTTAAACGCGCGATGTCGTCAAGTTGTTGAGCAGGAGCGAACGGAATGCACGATGATAAATACGTTTATAAAAAATTGTGTCGTTGTTGGCGCTGAATGCTGATTTGTCGGGTCAACTGATCGCGCCGCTGATAATCTTGCTGAATTAGCTTGGATGAAGAGCACTCTTCTTTTTTATAATCTAGTTGTAAATTTTTTGATATGTTTCAGTCGTCTCTTGCGCTCGGAAAGACGCATGCAGTAGCGATATCGAAGCAAGGCTACGTCTACACTTGGGGATTGAATAATCTGAACCAGTGTGGAAGGGTTGAGGTGCGTTCCCAATTTATGCTGCCCCATGTCTTGAGCTTTCGTCGTGGTATTACTAATTTATTTCCTCTTCACGCATTCGTTTTCTCTTTTCTCTATTTGTTTACTATTACTACTTGCTTTCATGGCTACAGTGGTTGCTCTGCACGAAGAAAAGATGTCTTTAAAGAGGAACTATGATCAAAATTTATCAAAAAATATGACGGAAGCATTTGAACGAACCAGAGCAGGATCATATCCAAAAGATTCCAGAACATTGGTGTTCTACAGTCATATTCGAGCTAAACTTCGAATTATTTTGCATTTGTTAAGCAAGCACCAGTCTCGTCAGTGTCATCTCGACGCCGTGGATCAGTCGTGGTTTGCGAACCGTCTGAACATCTTTTCGTTAAGGTTGTTGTTCGCAAAGATCATTACTGAACTAAATGGACTGATACGCTATCAAATTGCAGGATATTCCATCATACTGTACGCAGTGCGGTTTGTGTTCTGCACGTGGCTCAGCTTGCCCAATACCGGCTTTCACCAGGAAGATTGGAACGTGCACTTGTGGGCCGGGAGAAACTCCGTGCTTGAGGTTCATCAAGCTGAGATCCATTTTTCATTCGTGATATGCTGTGGAATCTATGGCTTCGTTGTTTAATCCAATCTTTCTGTACGGTTAAGGTGTGGGCTGTGTCGTTCATGTGGTGAGTCCACACAACAACGCCCTGCAGGTGACACACCAACTCGCACGCACCTAGCGCCAGCTCGGGTTTCGATTGTTAAGGCTCAACAGAATGTGAAGGTAGTTCTCAGGAATTTTGTCAATTTTGCAGGCTGTCCCATTATTTCTGGAATGCTTCGCATTTGTTACTATAAAAGGTCCTAGAAAATTCCGGAGGTTCAAATCATATCCTTCGAAGTAACACCCGCGATGGTCTGCCCTAACAGCTAGCCGCTCTTTTGCTCGCTGTTTTCCATGGCTTAACCCGGGTTTTCGGTAGGAACCTTACGAACCTCTATCTTCATGAGCATAGGATAATATCAATCTGAAACCAGGTCACAACGGATTTATGAGAAGATGGGCGAGGATTACTGGTGTCTTCTATTAGGAGATGATCCAAAGATCGGCTCCGTCACACTCACAATCTCAATTCTCTGTTGAACATTAAAAGCGATATAAAGTATTTAACGATGCTTTTCAGAGCAATTCTGATTACATACTCTGCTGATGAATAGCAAGTAGTTTGAAGTCTAAATTTCTTCTTGAATGGTATTTTCCCTCGAAACACAGCGAATCATATCAGCTCGCTTCAGGTCTCCTCTGTCAGTTGTGGCAATTTCCATACAATCCTGCTAGCTGCCGACGGCACTGTGTTCTCATTCGGTTCAAATTGTCATGGTCAGCTGGGAACGGGAGATGTGAGCAGTAAGACTGAGCCGCAAATGGTGAGTTAGACAAAGCGAAAGATAATTTTCATTATTCCTTTGGCGTCTGCATCGGTATCACACTTTTCATGCTATGCACAACCATCACACCCTAGGGAATGGGGAAAGAGGGCTAGAGAGCAGAAAAGAGGAGAGGAAGCGTATTGCTCGTTTCCGGTGAGATGCGATTTGAGTGAATAGGTTCTCGCACCCTTGCTACATTGAAAGCTTCTGGATATAGAGCGCAATTCCTTGAGCTCCTGCACCTTCTAATTGCTTCATATTGTTGCCAATTAAGCCAGGGAGCCCATGCAGCCCATATGTGGGCTGCAGTTCGTCGCCCGCGTAGGACTTTTAAGCCCACATTTCGAACAAATATCAAGCTGTTCTTTTGTTTTCTCTTTCAATTCAATCCAAAAGATGTCTTCTGCATCATACAGTAGTTTTTTGTTTCCAACTTGCTTGATGGGATTCCTGAAAATTTCACGGCCCAATCTCACGGTCCAACACGGCCGCATAAAGTAAAACACGCGCGGTCTCCAACGTGTTAAGTATATTGAGGAAAAAAATCACAATGATGTGTGATGTCCGACTTCTGCACTGAGGAAAATTAAATGTTTTTCACTTCGTAGTTAGGGCTTTTTTCAGAGTTAAATGCTACGGTAGTCAAGGTTTTGCTCAAGTACCGCGAAGTCACTGTTTTTTTCGTGACTCAGCTCATCAAGCTGTGCAAGTTGGTATATGGGTTTTGGAAAGCTTGATTCTAGAGTGCGCCTTGCACTTGAGTTCTATCTCGTGTACCTATTGTTTTTATACTATGCGTACATAATCTTTGAAGGCAGCGACGAAAAATCCAGATCTTGGGCAGCACATGTTGTGCGCAACTATTGTGGCAGACTTGATTACACATGAGGGTTACTTCTCTAGGGCGGTAACAGGCGAGCATCAGCATATGACTTGGTTTTTGGTTTTCGCGCTTATTTTCCGAATTTCCTGATAATGGTATTAAATGATTATAGAAAGTCCGTTCAAAAAATATAGGAGCTGATCTTTCCGAAAGAAACTTAACACATTTTGGCGTTACCTGCCTCGCCTCTATCAAGCTTTTCTTTTGAACCTAAGGAAGTTAATCTCAGGTATGACTACACTTTCTCACTTTTGTTTGCTTCAGTACAGCCATAATCAATTAATGGAGTTTCTGTAGTAGAAGTTTAATTGAATGTCTCTTGAATCAACTTACACAGACGTGTGGGAGCGCCGTGACCTCCATGCGTTGGCACCTAGTTAAGATTCCTTCGCACCTTAGTTGGGGGCAAGCCTAATGAGGTGCGAAGAATGTGCCTTTTGTCCCTATTTTCTCCCTCCTCCTAAAGACTAATTAGCTAAGCTGGCCGTTCAAAGATATCTGGTGCAAATGGGTAATAAGGAATAAAGGTCACTAACTTAGCGGAAGCCTTTCACAGGTACGGAAAAGTCAAGCTACAATATACGGAAAAATTGGAAAAATACTTTTTAGACGATTAGGACTATTAACCGGCGTAAATCACCCGCCTGTGTGGTTATGATAGACGTCTTAAAAAAGCTGACTTATGAAGCTTTAGCTACCCTCAAACGTCTGAAAGATGAAAGCATCACAAAAATGCAGAATAGTTTCGCCCATGCTACCATTCGTATTAATTTCTTCCAAGATCCAGAGAACGTGAGGGTGAGGGCGTTGGCGGGAGAGTACGGGGAGAGAAGAGATAAAATATGGGAAGAAATGGCAAAGTTCGATTGTTTCTAAATTAATCTTCCTTTGAACGCGCATGACCATTTTTTCACAGATTCGACGAAGCTCACCAGGAAGGACCCACCTCTAATCAAAATGCTTCGTAGAAGAATGTCCAGATACAGAACTAATAAGTCAATTTAGTTACTTATGAAATTTGAACATATTTTGGATATCTTTTTCATGTTGTTCACTGGTTTCCCTAACCAAGTTAGAACGAATAGTGATTAATAACAATAATGAATAATAACAACAATGATCCTAATAGTCGTAACAGCATAATAATAAATATGAAATAATAATATTTTACTTTAATTTGTTCACAGGAGTCAGAAGATAGAAAAGTAGTAATAATGCATGAACAATCACATTTTATCTAAAATCACCTTTTCCCTCTCCGATATCGTCGTTCGCCAATCTTTTGCACCATTATGGAATACGGCGCGTCTCGCCCACAGATAGCTGGCGCCTAGTCACAAGGCAGCACTAATTAGGTGCCAAAATTTGAGGTCACTATGCGCCTAGTCGCGAAGCAGCCGTAACTATGTGCTGAAATTTCCAGTCGTACCACTTGAGACCAGGGTGAATATCGGTCGAGGAAATCCTCGACACGGGGGTAGTACTTGCCAGGGTGGGTCATGGGCGGTCACACTCGTGGGGTCAGTAACGTCAGTGGCAGATGTGAGTGAGAGGATGTAGCGCGAAAGCAAGGATATGTGAGAAAACATGATATGATATTCTTTGCAGGTTCAGTCGCTCCATTCCTCTACTTTTATGAAAAGGATTTATTTGAAAGGAGTACAAAGAACGAAAAAGCGTCTCCGCAAAGAACGGGCCACATGCGCACACGCTTCTAAAGGCACCTGCTCTATCTATCGACTGCTCCTTCGTCCTGAATCCCTCGTTGAGAATGACACGGTTGTTAGGACTGCTGTTGCAAAAACGACAATAGATCTGGAAAGATTCTGGACAAATGAAGCTGTTTCTTGGGCTATGGGAGTTACGAAATGTGTCAAAGTTTCTGTCAACAGGTCCTTATCATATGTGTAACGCTTTCAATAGATTGGTTTTACACTGTGTGCCAAACGAGGTTTTTAAGAGGGAATCTTTATTAACTGGCTTTACGTTTCGACCACTTCGTCTTCTTCAGAGGCCTGGAGATTGTCTAAAGCGTTCCGATTTGCTAGCTATTCGATCAATCGCTCATAGTGTTCTCGACGTCATAGAGCGTCACGAACACTACCGAACTTTAGGTGACGAAAGCTCAACTCACCGGAGATTCCACCGATGCGGAGCGTCAGCTCACGCTTTGTGTCCGTATGGCGTCAATATAGCGAATGAACCACACTCAAATACACATCAAATGCCGAGGTTTCAACAAAGGGCGACATGGAGACTGCTTTAAATAGATTCTACAACTTGAGTGGAGGTCGGATGCATGACCTATACTGGGGCGGGCGTGATCGGACGATGACGATTGCCCCTTCTTGTCGGTGACGTTGGGAGAATTTATTCTAGACACATTTCGAAAGTTGCCAACGATTTAACTTGCAGTGGTGAAGAAGCTAGCGGCCTTTTTAGGTGGCCGAGATCCATCCTCGATAGATTCTCGACGCATATGTCTCCCCATACAGAAAATGCAGAGGAAAGCTAAACAGACAGTTAGAAAGCGCAAACTTTCCGCTTTTTATA